TTATTATTATTATTATTATTATTAAATTTATATTGCAGTCATGCCTAAAGTTCACAACTAAATTAGGCCCTATTTTGCTGGGCTCTGTCCAATTGTATAATAAATGATGTTTCCTGCTCTGAAGGCTTAACAAAGATCTCAGAGTACTTCATTGTGTTTGGAGGGTCAATTTCTGCATTTAGTTACACGAACATATATTTGATGTAACTATTAACTCAAAGCAAAAATTGATGCAATGTGCATTATTATCTTTATGACAGAGTTGGGAGGGATTTCTACAGTTAACACAATTAAAACGGCCTAACCCTCTATTATAAAACCTTCTTTCAGTTGTGAATATAAACCTGCCAAACTTTTAACTCTTTGGGTTGCAATTTTCCGCAGTAGATGTCTGCCTAAGCCTGAAGGGTTTTAGGGTGTTTTCTGTAAAAGTTACTCAGCTGTTTTCTGCATACAGGGTAAGAGAATAGAGTGGTTTCTTCCTACTGATGGAACTTGTACATCTGTTCTTTTTAGAAGCTTTAATATACTCATGATTTGGTGAAGGGTTTTACGTATCGGCTGGGTTCAAAAAGGTGCACTTTTTCCTGATATGTAATAATAATTTGAAATATAGTTGAAGTTTCTCTCTGGTATACCCAGAGATGTGATTGTTAAGGTGAACTAACTGGCAGATTATAAAAAAACTTTGATGAGGGAACGGTGCATATAAAATGATAAGACAAAACTGATTTTGTGATGATTTAAGTTATTTTTGGACATTAAGTTTTCTTGCAAAATAATTCTAAAATCAGTGATTGAAAATATGTTCTTAAAATGAGATGGCAAATTTTTTTCCTCCTACAAAAGATGAAATCAGTTTTCCTCAATATCAGAGTACTTGCTATGTGAGCTTTCTAAAAGCAAACTGTTGTAAATCTTAGTTCTGTTAAACAGCTAATATTCATATAAAAGTGATCTCAAATATGCCACAATATCATGTTTTATTTTATTGTTAATGGTTTCTATAAGAAAAAATTCAGACTACTTACGTTTTTTCAACGTTTTATATGTATTCAGATGCATCACCAATGTCTTTCTAGTTGAACTAATCAGAAGTTATTTATTCAAAGTTATAGAAGAATTAACATTTCAGTTAATCATGAAGGATCGTTCTTTTAAAATAGTTGTCATCTGCTTTTTTTTCCTCATATAGTGGAAATAGTTGCTCAATAGTCCATACCTCATTATAGCAGATGAGGTTGCTGTAATTTGTGGAGGAGGCATATTTCTGTAGTCCCATTGGAAATAATGAAGATTTTGGTAATTTTGAATTATTCTGACAGAGATTCTATGCTGGCTTCTGGTGAAAGACAAATTTTCACTAGAAAATTACGAAAAGACACTGAATTGAGCAGTAAATCCTCAGATTAGACTTCAGTAGAGGAGAAAAGCCAGCCTTTTAGCAGGTTTTACAGGGGAGTATGAGAATCTGGAAGACAATATTTGCATGACAGAGAAGATTACAGAGCACAGGCATTTTACACAGCTTTGGAAAATAAAGCACGTAAAATGCACCTGCCTATAATGTACAGTCATAGAAGTGTAGAGTTAGAATGGTTTGCATGTTTTTTTCTGCATATGTGATACTCTTGTGGGTTTAACTTTAACTGTGTCTTTCTTAACTTTGATTTCAACATTGTAATATATATAGTGTATTTTTAATAAATCGTAGAATCATAGAATCATAGAATGGTTAGGCTTGGAAAGGACCGCAAAGATCATCTAGTTCCAACCCCCCTGCCATGGGCAGGGAAACCCTCCACTACACCATATTGCCCAAAACCTCATCCAACCTGGCCTTGAACACTTCCAGGGATGGGGCGTCCACAACTTCTCTGGGCAACCTGTTCCAGTGCCTCACCACCCTCTGAGTGAAAAATTTCTTCCTTATATCTAATTGAAATCTCCCCTTTTTCAGTTTAAAGCCATTGCCCCTTGTCCTATCACTACACGCCCTTGGAAAAAGTCCCTTTCCAGCTTCCCTGTAGGCCCCCTTTAAGTACTGGAAGGCTGCAATAAGATCACCTCGAAGCCTTCTTTTCTCCAGACTCAACAACCCGAACTCTCTCAGCCTGTCTTCATAGCAGAGGTGCTCCGGCCCTCAGATCATCTTCGTGGCCCTTCTCTGGACTCGCTCCAGCAGCTGCATGTCCTTCTTATGTTGGGGACTCCAGAGCTGAATGCAGTATTCGAGGTGGGGTCTGACGAGAGCAAAGTAGAGGGGCAGAATCACCTCCCTCGACCTGCTGGCCACGCTTCTTTTGATACAGCCCAGGATACGGTTGGCTTTCTGGGCTGCCAGCGCACATTGCCGGCTCATGTTGAGCTTCTCATCATCCACCAGCACTCCCAAGTCCTTTTCCTCAGGGCTGCTCTCAATCCATTCTCCGCCCAGCTTGTGCTGTGCTTGGGATTGCCCCGACCCACATGCAGGACCTTGCACTTGGCCTTGTTGAACTTCATGAGGTTCTCACAGGCCCATTTCTCCAGCCTGTCAAGGTCCTTCTGGATGGCATCCCTTCCCTCCAGCGTGTCCACAACACCACACAACTTGGTGTCATCTGCAAACTCGCTGAGGGTGCACTTGATCCCACTGTCCATGTTGCCAGCAAAGATGTTAAATAGCACTGGCCCCGGTACTGACCCCTGAGGAACACCACTTGTCACTGGCCTCCACTTGGACATTGAACCGTTGACCGCAACTCTTGGAGTGCGACCATCCAGCCAATTCCTTATCCACCAAGTGGTCCATCCATCAAATTCATGTCTTTCCAGTTTAGAGAAAAGGATGTCGTGTGGGACAGTATCAAATGCTTTGTAGTGTACATTAGTAGCATACATTTTTACTCTTAGAAACAGTTTAATTTTTAGCTTTTGACTTTAGCATTAGGTAACTTTTCATATACTTGTTTGGCATCCTTAATAGAATGCTGCCAGATTATTGACTTCAGTTAATAATCAGTTTATCACTTAATTTATCACTGTAATGAGAGGAAAACCAGAAGATTTTAATCCCTCATGTGTAATTCCCATACTTAATTCTCCATCATAAATGTACCATTAGAGGCATTGCAAAGCACTGTGCCATGTGGATATATGTATAGTAGCTAAAATTGTGAGTTCACTAGGTGGGACTGCATTATATATTATGCAGACATTCAGTGGTAGTCTGGATTTAAGAGAAGCTCCATATAAAGGGTACATTCCTCTGGTGGATGCCTGCTTATTAGCATAAACCTCTGATTTGTAAATTTAGAACCCTAAGAAAGATAAACCTTTTTTTTCCTCAGTACAAGTCCATAAAACTTTGTGTCTTCATTTTTTTTCTGAAGAAGGATCTGGTGGGTGGACCCCATCCAGCAGCTAGGCCTGCACCCAATCACTTGCTCAGTAGCCCCCAGGAATGAGGGAGAGACTCAGAAGGGCCAAAGTGAGAAAAACTCATGGGCTGAGATAGACAGTTTAGTATATGAAAGGAAAAGAAGAAAAAGCAAACGAGATCAAGGGCAATCACTCGCTCCCTACCGCCAGCAGACTGGTGCCCATCGAGTCCCTGAGCTGTGGCTACTTTAGAAATGCCCCCGCCTCCAGTTTCACTGGTGAGTGTGATGTTACAGGGTTTGAGATATCCCTTTGGTCAGAAGGGATCAGCTGTCCCTGCTGTGTGCCCTTCCAGCATCTTGCCCACGCGTAGCCTACTGACTTGAGTGGCAGGCTGAGAAACTGAGAAAGCCTTGATGGTGTGCAGGCACTGTTCAGCAATAACTAGAACATCGGTGCCTTATCCACACTGGTCACAAACCTAACACGCAGCACCATACGGGCTCCTATGAGGAAAACTCCATCTTGAGCTGGTAGAAAAGCAACGCATTTTGAACTTGAGATTTAAAATAGTCTGCTTTATATTTTCTGTAGACACGTTAATGCTTGTGTTCTGTTTCTCTAGCTGATAGAGAATGAGGCTTATAAACAGAAATGTGCTGGACTATAACAGCTGTGTTTTAAAACAGGTACAGCAGATGCAGAGGAAAAACAGATCACAGAGGATAAAAATTATGCGGGAGAAGAAGCAAGAATGAATGTGGCTAGAAAAATAATGCTACAGGTTTCATTTATTGATGTGGAAATAGCAAGGAAATAGTATAATAAGGAAATATATTAAATGTAGCATGTCTTCATATGCAAAACTTGTATCTAGATGCATTTGCAGATGATAAGCTAACATTTTAATATTAATATATCATTTTAATGTATATTCTTGAGAACTACTTAGACTCTGGCACATTTAACAGTCTAGAAGTTCCTTTTATTCAAAATGAAATTTATTTATTCATTTTATTCAAAATGAAATTTCTAATGAAAAAATAAGGATTTTTCCTCATTTTCTTTAACTAATACTCTGTATGTTCCTTATTCATATCTGACTCCTGTTACTTTCTGAGTAGTTACTGAAGGTTAAATTCTCTTTTCTGTTGCTTTCAGAAAAATCTAGAGTAATTCCAGTCATTGTGAATGACTGTACTTGTTTGCGTGTGTCCCACATTGCTGGGACTGAGGCTTTAGGTGAGCCTTAGGACTCAGGAGAGGAGAAAACTTGGCTTTGCTGTACCTATTAGTATAAAGTCAACACTGAGTCTTCCAGTAGTGCTTATGGGTGGACAGGGAAAACTCTGTCTGTCCATGTTTTCTGTGCATGTCTCAGTACTTTTTGTCAGATTTACATGGCTGATTTTGGACACAGAAGTTGTCTGCGTTTCTTTTTGGAAAGGGTCAATACTGTGTCTGTTATGGGAATTCAAGGAAGTTAAACCGCAGATGTCCACCTTTTGGAAATCAAGTTTGCAGATTCAGGTCACAGTAGACCTGAGGCCGTGCCCTACTCTGTCACCTAAGTCTTAAGGGTGGGAAAGAGTTATCTAACTGAGCTACTCCAGATTCTCAGTGATGCAGCAGTCAGCAGAACATGGATGAAACTGTGGGCTCCAGGATTACTTCTGAATGGTTTAAAAAAGGTTTCTGACTAAAGGAATGATAAACTTGTTTTAACAATTACCCATTTTGGCAAATTGTCATTTTCTATGTCCCATGTAAGTAACAATACTGCAAAGTTTTAAGTGTGTGCTTGAGTGAAGTACGCATGTTCATTTTGTCCCTGAACAAGTGGCCAGTCGCTATTACATAATGATTGTCTGTACCATGTCTAATGCTTTGGCACTATTTTTATTATGTCTGTAGGGTTAGTATAAATGAAGTACTGCAACAAATTCTTCTTCCATTCTAACTTTATCCAGATTTTTTTTTTTTTTAATGTAAGGGAATACTTTCTTAAAAGTACTATCAGGGGGAATTTTTCATTTTGCATAATGAAGCCACTACATGAATCATAAGTGCAGGATGTTTTACTAAACTAATCTTAGAAATGAATCTTAGTGTTTAAAAGAATGTAAGCAACTTGCAGTTCCTTTAATGTGAAACGTTAAAGAGGATGTATGAAGAAAAAAGATCTTTATTTTAAGCTTAATTTATCTTCTGGTGTGTGTTAGGGACCTATAATTCAGTACTTAGTGAAGACAATTAACAAATCACACACACTCTCACCAATGTCTAAACATGGCTAGAAAAAGTAAAATACTAGTCTTGTTATCTATACAGAGAATGCTAATGCCTATAATTGGTCATTACTTGACCCTTATATTTTTGTGTCCTGATAATTCTGTCAGCCTGGAAGCTAATTTTGTGGCTTTTTTGTGAAATCTTTCAGTGGTGTTATCAGGGAGAGTGCGTACCTTTTGGCACTTGGCCCCAGAGCGTAGATGGGGATTGGGGTCCGTGGTCAATATGGGGAGAGTGCAGCCGGACCTGCGGGGGAGGAGTCTCCTCGTCGATAAGACACTGTGACAGTCCAGCGTAAGTAGCTAAAGTAAGCTGGAGCCAACAAAAAGACACATTTGGATATTATTCAAAACTGTGGTTTCACATGTTATCTGTAAAAATGTTTTGCTAGTTTGCCAACATTTGTCTTCAAAATAGCAGACAGAAACACTTAAACAGGAGAAGTTCACTAGACATACTTTTAACATTTTTAATGTATCTCATATATTGTAAAGATAGCTGGATTTATGTTTAGCAGTGACCAGAATGCTTTTCTTTCTGCAACTTGCTGTTCATGCAAAATATATTTAAATTATGCCTTAGATAGGTTTCTTTCTGAAGATATATTGCCTCTAATGCTTGTCTAGGCTATAAAATAACTATTGCCAGTTACTTATTAAGAAACAACACAGTATTTCCAAGCTTTTGCATACAACTGCTTACATATAAACCATAGTTAGCAATACTATATGGCATACATTTATATGCTGTCATGTCCAACACTTAGTTGTGACTTCCCACTGACTCTTGAAACAATTCAGCAACTTCTCTCCTTGCCACTATCCCTATTGGTCCACCTGCTCTCTCTCAAGAGGGGCCAGCTTCTCCACTACAGCTTGATCTGTTGTGCGTATCTGTACTGGTCCTGTCATCTATCTGCTTTCCAATGTCCTCAGCACTGTTCCAGAGAATATCTGTTGGGTAAGTGCTCCCCTCTCTCTCACTACCACTTCTCAGATGAGAATGCTTACTTATTTTCGTTGTTGTTCTTTGCTGAATGGATCAGCTCTCTGCAAGACAGACACCATAATGTCACACTACTGCTGCTTAAGGTGGTCTGTTCACCTTCTATCATTAGCAATAACTATCAAATCTGGCAAATAACGCTACTTACTGGATGGATTCAAAACCAAAAATTATCCATATACATTGATAACATGTCAGACTGCATTACTGAGAGAATAATAAATTAAATTCATTATTTTTTTCACAGCAGTATGTAAAAATGCTTAGTGAAATGTTTATTTGGAACATGAGTAATTTCCTAAGATTTTTTAACTACTCCTGTCACCACGTATATGGATTGGTATGTTGAAAAGTGATTAAATTTTATATGTTTAACAGTACAGCAAGCAAATGCATTTAAGGAGTGGTATGCCTGCATTAGGAAAAAAATTCCTTTTTGGTTCAAGGATACTGTTGCCTGGTTAAATATCTGTAAAGTGAAAAATAGTATGGATTTACTCTTTAGTTAATTGTAAATTCTTTTATTTCTTTATTATAAAACAAATACTAAGTGTGTCTTTCCTTTCTGCTTTCCAGTTATGAGCCAAAGAGCTGATATCTAATGAATATTCCGTTTAAGTTAATGTTCATTCATTATTTGACCTCAGTGGAAGATAGATAAGGTTCTTGAACAGTTTGGGAATTTAAGAGCCAATGCCCTATTCTCACTAACAGAAACCTGCTCACTCTGGAGTTTCCTCAGATTTAATACTGCTTAATTCAAATCAGAATCAGATTCTAGAACTCAAAAATGCAGTCTTTGCTGGCTCCAGTATTTAGCAGGCAGTGTTTCTTCATTTTGTTGTATTTTCAAGTGTAATATGAGAAGATTTTTTTAAAAAGTATCACATTGGTTGTTTATGCTTTTCTCTTTCTATTTGTACAAAGCAAGCAAATAATTAAAAGCAATGTCTTTTTAGTATTTTCGAAATACAGTGAAACTGTATTACTTGATATCTGTGCAAACTAGATGAATACTATATGGGTGATGATTTTCAAGTACCCCGTATTCTTTTGTGTCTGCTCCAATTCAAGTCAGTGCCACAATTCTTATTAAATAAAATATTTTAAAATATCACCTTAAAATTTCCATGTACTTTTATTTGTATTTATATAATATATATCTCTTTGACTTGTATTTGTACTATTAATGCATTAGTATATCTCATGAACTTGTGTTTGTACTAATACATATACTAACACATAAAATATGTTTTTCCAGGCCTTCAGGTGGAGGCAAGTATTGTCTTGGAGAAAGGAAGCGGTATCGCTCCTGTAATACTGATGTAAGTAAATTTTCTTCCATTGTAAAAGTATAATCAGCTTGTCTGTTTTATGTTTTAGCAGCAATGGATACATTTTTTTGCAGTTCAGAAAAGCTGTGAATTTTGCATTTTATTGGCAAGCAGTGCTGTAGGGCAGTTCTATATTGCAGGCACCCTACATGTTCTGCCAAATGTTAGGGTCCGATCCCTGCCTTAATGTGATGCCCAGCTGGTGCCTTTGCGTTAAGGCCTGGAGTGAGTTCAACTTGAGCATCCATGTTAAGGGTGAACAAAGAGCATTCCAGATCAGAGCAGAGATCTGTCTAGCCCAGTGTCTTGTCTCCCAGCAGTGGCAAATAACAGGTGTTTAGTGAATAATTATAAACTTTTGGCAGCCAAGGCATGACTGTTCCATGGATATGCTGTATGAGTTTCCAGAAGCTGGGTGTCTAAAGATTTCTTGAGCTCCACTTCGTATCTGTACCCCATTAAGTGCCACAAATGGAAGTATCCTCCATGAATTGACTTTTAAACCCCCTTACCCTTTTTATACCACTACAACTTCCAGTGCTAATGTGTTACACAATCCTCTTATACATTCCGTGAAAACGTGTTTCTTTTGGTGTGTTTTAAACCAGCTGTTTTGCCATCAGGCACTCACTGGTTCTTTTATTACCAGAGTGATCATGCAATTTTATTTTAGAGCAGAGCCCATCAAATAATAAACTACCACAGAGGGGTTAGGGCAGAGTATAAACATATACAATTAAATTATGAACCTAAGTAAAAATTAAATTAAGTTAAAAATTGAATGAGAAAAAAGTACGCACCAATGAAGAATTTCACTAGTAAGTTTCCAAGTCAGTAGAACTAGAAACATAAACAGGCTTTCATATTATTTTAGCTTCAAATTTGTCTTAATTTTCTTCTTAAATCAAGACAGTTTGTAACAGTGAGAGAGTCTGTACCTGCAGGTATTGTTTCACCTGTTTATTATTTTTCATATATTTCAGGAAAACATGCAATAGTGAATATGCTGATTCCTTGAAAATACTTCTTTTTAATGATCGTTACTAATTATCATAAATACTAGTTCTGCAAACTTCTCTGTGGAGGTTATTCTCATAATTATGCAGTATTGCAGATTTCCAAATTAAAAATTTCTTTCCTACTGCTAATCTGAGCTGCCAAGAAGTGTGTTAGGCTTTTAGCCATGATGTTGTAAGAGAAACTGAAGCTGAGCTGCCTGTCCAGTAGGAGCTGTAAAACTTTTCCAGTCATTCAACCTGCCAAATTACAGTGCACCATTCTGAAACTTTATCTTATTTTTTTCCATAGATGTGTATCTTTGCGCTTGACTGTCTTTGTGCAATTTTCATTTTAATGTATGCAGCTTATCAGATGATCCACTGTAATTAATTTACCTTCCTCTTTATTTTGATTCAGATGGTCTTTTTGTAATTGGAAGACTTATAAGCAAGAAATCTTTTTCGTAGTTGCAATTCACAAATGAAAACGTTGAGTAACACTGAGTGTATTTCTTATTCTTACAGTTGATAGGGAATTCACCCATGAGTTCACTAAATGATGATTCTTTATTGAAATCTATCTGTTGAAATCTGTCAATCAATATTTAATAAATTTTATGTATACTTTACCGAACTAGTACAGGTTTGTTTCTGGTTTTTTTTTTTTTTTTTCAGTCAGGATGTTTTATACTACGAAGTTAAGTGCCTTATCAAAATCTAAGCATATTCCAGTATCCTTTTAATTTAACCAGGAATTGTAAAAAGTTTTAGTTGGTAACACCTAAACTTATACAAAATATTGATTTGTATAATTATTTATGTTTCTTTTAAACCAATATCAGTCAAATCAAATATTTGAGATTGATATCAGGCAAGGTAACCTAGAATATTCTATTTGACCTTTTCAAATAATGACCTTTTTATATTAGCACTGTTTCAGTTCATACACACAGTCTAAGATTCGTTAAAAAATTCACATTTGCACACAGGAGCCCTCCTCCCTTAACTCTTTGGCAACTCTTGTGAGGTAATTTTCCAGGCATTCTTATTTAAAATGTTTATGTCCAATAGGTATTATTTAACATCTGCTACAGTAACTAGTATAGAAGAAAGTTTACATAATGTGTAATCGTGCTCCCTCACAAATATACAACACTTTTTAAATGTTTTTTTATTATTAACAATCATACCATAGCTACCGAGTGATACCATTGAAATGTTGCTAGGATTTATTTTATTCTTATCATATTTTATTTCTTACTGTCACACTTTTCAGATAGTTTTATTCTTAGTTGGTTTTGCTTCCCTTATTCTCTCTTTATTTGTTTATTACTGAGAACAGGCTTATAGGGTCACAGAAGGAACATCTAGAAAGTATCTGAGGAGACCATTTATGCTATTCCCTGGCACAAATGCAAAATCAACTGTCATTAAACCATTCCTAACTGACAGTTAGGCAGCTGATCTGTTCTGAAATACCTGCAGTCTGGGAGATATCATTAGGATTCTTCAATATCCTTACAACCAGGACAATTTTCATAAAATAAATTGTATGTTTTCCCATCCTTTAGGATACTTTCTTTTTACCCAGTAAGAAGACAGCTGATAACATTGCCTCTGTGGAAGCCTTTCCTGTGCTTGCAGACTACTATCATGTCTCTTCTTAGTCTTCTTCACACTAGGCAGTCTCGGTGTTAATAGCCTTTGGGATCCTAGTAGCACACATCTTCTTGAAGCGTGGTGCCCAAACCTCTGCCCAGGATTCTAGCTGAGGCCTGATAGAGATAAGTATAACTTCAAACTTAGTCTGTCATCTTAGTGATGGGATTCTATTTCTTCATTTCAGTATTGTGTTCTTTTTTTCTTACAGGAGTGACAATATTTATGTAGTCTGTGTTGATCCGCAAAGCCCAAATTCCTTAAGAGCTGCTGTTTAGGAAGTCATTCCTCAGCTTGTGCTTGCACAGTTGGTTGTTCCTGCTCAAGTGTAGTAATTTGCATCCATTGCTTTATTTCAAACCACTGCTCCAGTTTATCAAAATCTTTTAAAATTGTAGTCCTCTATTCCAAAATGTTCGTTCCCTACCTATACTCAGATTTCAATAAATAATTTAAACAAGATATTGGAAAGGAAACTTTGCATTTAATTCTCTAGGTCTTAAAAACAAATCTTGGAACAATTGCAGACTCAGGCCAGGCAATTTGGAAGTGGCATACTTACAGTTTAACTGTGAATCATTTTTTTAGCATATTTTTTTGGATATAGTTTTCCAGTGCATAAACATATTAGTACTTTCAGAATTTTAAATTTATTGCCTTAATGGTTTAGACAATTGTAGTCTATTTCTTTTATAGCAATATTTAGGGTTCTACATAACTAAGAATTGCTGAGACTAGTAGATTTTATTTCAAGATTTATGATAGTCTGTAGTGCTTGACAATTTTAATGGAATGGTATGTTTAATTAATGTAAGCATTAAGAGCATGCAATTCTGTCATTGTTTTTATGAAAAATGTGTTGTTTGTAATCTTTTCCATTGAAGTTTATTTTGCAGTGTCAACATTCATTACCCGTCTGTAATTTTCAATGTCGCGCTCGCTGAAGGTCCAACTAGTATAAACCAAAAAAATCTCATTTGGACTTCATTTTTCTCTCGGAGATGACTTAGTTCTGTTGCCCTTTCTTTTAATGATTTTAATTCTTTGGAAATGGCACACACACTCCTACTAGGCTTATTTCTCATCTATGACTTCTAAAGCTGTGTATGACTTTGTTTATGAAAGAAATTCTTTACATTGAGGGTGGTGAGGTACTGGAACAGGTTGCCCAGAGAGGTTGTGGATGCCCCATCCCTGGAGGTGTTCAAGGCCAGATTGGATGAGGCTTTGGGCAACCTGGTGTAGTGGAGGATTTCCCTGCCCATGGCAGGGGGGCTGGAACTAGATGATCTTTGAGGTCCCTCCCAACCCTAACCATTCTGTGATTCTATGATTCTATGACTTCTTAATTCAAAAGATATCTGCTACTGGAATCATTGAGATCAGCAGAAAAGTTCTGGAAACAAAAGGATGGTAGAAAGACCACATTCATCAAAAACTTATTTTTTACCATCACTATCTCTGACAAAAATATACGTGTTTTTCCAGACAAAGTATTTTTAATTTAAATAAACCCACAAAATTTTACTAGAATTACTAGAATTGCAAGTAACTAATTTTCTGATTTAAAATGTATATAGGATGCGATGCTTAATTTGATATACATCTAAAACAGTAAAACTCTCCTAATTCGTGATATACAATAAGAAACATGTTTTGCTTATGAGTTCTGTGAATGGTTTCTCTATATGAAATTATGTGTATATACATACCTTTAAAAGATTCTTGTGCTTCAGTCTTTCTTTCTGAAATGCATTCCTGTGAGGGGCTATGTATTGGAACAGTACCTGGGGTTTCAACTGTCACACTTCTGGCTATGTTTCTCGTCTTCTGTGAGGCGTAGTACAGCCCTTTGTTAATAGGAAACGCAATGACTTAAATTACTGAAGTCTGCCTGACTTCAGCCTCCAAGATAAACAGATTTCTGTGAGATAAGATGTTTGGTGTTGTATCAGTGTTGGTTCTATGATTTGTTAATACTCTTTAGATGATTTATTTTTCCTACAGTCTTAAATTTTTTCATGTTCTTATTAAAGTCAATGCTTTTTTTAACTCAAAATTTTGTTTCATAGAATTATAGAATCATAGAATGGTTTGGATTGGAAGGGACCTCAAAGATCATCTAGTTCAAACTCCGCTGCCACAGGAAGGGACACCTTCCACTAGATCACGTTGCACAAAGCCTCATCCAACCTGGCCTTGAACAAATCCAGAGATGGGGCATCCACAACTTCTCTGGGCAACTTGTTCCAGTGCCTCACCACCCTCTGAGTGAAAAATTTCATCTTATTATCTGATTGAAATCTCCACTCTTTCAGTTTAAAGCCATTGCCC